CTGCCATTGCAAAATTGTAACTGAGACAGTGAAAGAGACCTGACCCAAACAACTCCATCTTGGTTTTCTTTTTTGTTGTTGTTGTTGGTTTTTTTTTTTTTTTTATTTTTTTTTTTTTTTTAGCTGGAGTCTCAACCTGTTGCCAGGCTGGAGTGCAGTGGCTTGATCTTGGCTCACTGCAACCTCTACCTCCCAGGTTCAAGTAATTCCCCTGCCTCAGCCTCCCCAGTAGCTGGAACTACAGGTGTGCACCACCATGCCTGGCTAATTTTTTTTTATTTTAGTACAGATGGGGTTTCACCATGTTGGCTAGGCTGGTCTCGAACTCCTGATCTCATGATCCACCTTCCTCTGCCTGCCAAAGTACTGGGATTGTGGCCGTGATGACCGCGCCCGGCCTCCATCTTGCTTTTAACGTCCAAGTTGTCCTTATTCCTTCCCCAGCATAGGCTGAACTAACTTTGGGAAGAACTTAGTTTCTAGTTTGAAACAAAGATGATAACAGTCCTTTCCCACAACAAACCTCCTTTTTGCCTAGAGACTAGACTGTCTTTATAGGACTAACAAATTTGCCAAAAAATTAGAAATTATGGTTTAGGAGTCATGTAGCTGGATCCTGCAAGATTTCAAACCTCCCTAATTTGCTCCTGGGGATAACATCACTATTGTAAAACCTAAGATCAGGGCTTGAGATATTTTGCAGCCCCTGCACTCGATGGATCAGCTGGCACCACCCAGATGGATAAACTAGCTCATCTGGTCTTGTGGCCCCCACTCAGGAACTGACTCAGCACAAGAAAACAGCTGGGATTTCATCTCCAACCCAGCCTATCAGCACTCCTGACTTACTGCTTTCCCCTCCGCCCACCAAATTATCCTCTAAAACTTGGATCCTTGAATTCCTGGGGAGACGGCAAGATTTGATTTGAGTAATTACAAAACTCCAGTCTCCTACACAGCCTGCTCTGCATGAATTACTCTTTCTCTATGGCAATTCCCCTGTCTTGATAAATCGGCTCTGTCTACATAGTAGGCAAGGTGAACCTTTTGGGCAGTTACAGTATCTCTCTGAAAACAACAGGCAGTAACTTTTTTTTTTTTTTTTTTTTTTTTTTTTTTTGAGACAGTCTCGCTCTGTCGCCAGGCTGGAGTGCAATGGTGCGCTCTCAGCTCACTGCAATCTCCGCCTCTCCGGTTCAAGTGTTTCTCCTGCCTCAGCCTCCCAAGTAGCTGGGATTATAGGCACGCGCCACCACGCCCAGCTAATTTTTTGTATTTTTAGTAGAGACAGGTTTTCACCATGTTAGCCAGGCTGGTCTCAAACTCCTGTCCTCAGGTGATCTGCCTGCCTTGGCCTTCCAAGGTGCTGGGATTACAGGGGTGAGCCACCGCACCCGGCCTACTCCACTCATTCTTAATAGGTCCTTACTCTTGTCAGTTTCTGTTGTATCTTTATAGTGTTTCTGTATACAAAATCAAGTAAATACAAAAGTATAATTCTTCTTTTCCCCCCTCTGTTAGACAAAGGTGGCATCTGGTTTTGCTATCCTGGGACTTTCTCTTTTCCGGTTAATAATGTATCTTGGAGAATTTTTCCATAGCAATATAAAATATTTCCATTCTTTTTTAGCATTGAATATTACTCCACTGTGTGACCATATCACGGTTTATCCAGTCCCTTACTGATGGGCCTATAATTCAATTTTGTCAGTCAAATTAGTGAAAAGTGTATTTTGATGAAGCTTTTTTTTTAATTTTACATTTCTTATTGTGATTTTTTTTTCCCCCTGATAGTTAGGTACCGTTTGTATTTATTTTTCTCTGAACAATTTACTCTTTGCCCATTTTTATCGGGCTGCTGGGTTATTTTCTTATTCATTTTTAGGAGCTTACCGTATGTTGAGATTAGCCCTGATGGTGAGAACTGGGAATATTTTTCCCAAATTGTCATGTATATTTTGATTCTGTTTATATTTTACCGTGCAAGTGTGTCATCATTATGTAGTTAAGCTTGTCTTTTTTTTTCTGGATTTTAACTCAGAGCTTCAAACCCTCCAAGTGACACACAGCCTCGGGGTGGGGCCAGGGTAGTGACAGGGGCTGTGGCTTCCCTACAGGGAGGTGCCCCAACCTGGTGGCAGCTTGGAGAGGGGTGGGTACTGGAGAAGACCAGCCCCTTAGCCAAACAGCCTTACAAAGACACCCAGCTCTGAGGACCTCAAAACATCCTGAGAACAGTGCCCAGAGGCGAGAAGGAAGCCCCCGGCCTGGTCCATACCCCACCACCAACTTGCACAACGGGGAGTGATGTCACCCACCCTCCACTCCCCTCAAAGGAGCAGCTGCTTTGGTGGTTTCTCCCAGGCTCTGGCGGCGGACCCATGGGAGGGGCTTTTTGTACAAAGCTGTAACATTGTGGGGACAGGGGGGCCACAATGATTCAACTCTATGGGAAACCTTTACAAAAACCTCTCTGGCAGTCCCAACTCCCAGAGTCCCTCTTCTTTCCTCCTGGGTCACAGGTCTTAATGCAATTTGGTTCAGAATGCCTCTGCCTCACTCCTGATCACAGGTCACACCAAGACCGTGGACAAGGACAGACCCAGATGAGAACTGAAGCTTCCCAAGCAGAGAGAGCTCAGACATAAGAAGAATGCCTCAGGAACATCTCAAGTGGAGGACTCAGGGATAGTCCTGATCCCCACAAAATTGAGACAGTCGGGTGGAAGGTTCATTGGAGGTGACCGGCTCTCCAGAGGATTTGGGAAGAAGTCAGGGCTGTCTATAGATGGAGTCATAGGTTCTGGGCCTTGCCGTCCTCTGCAGGCCACGCCCTTTCCCTTTTGATGGACCCTCAGAGAGGGAGCATGAATGGGGTGTCCTTTGAGAAAGGGACCTAGGACCCTGTGGATGGACTCTGTCATTCTCCATGGTCCTAAAAAGCGAAAGTCAAAGTGTTCTTCTGTGCAATATGCAATACCCATACAGCACAGGAGGAGATTTCTTAGCTCACTGTCCTCCACCCTAGCCAGGGCCCTCTCCCCGCTCTTTGCCTTGAATGTGATTTTCACCTTGACCCCTGTCACTGTGTGAACACTGAAGCTTTCTTTGGACAAGGCACCAGACTGACAGTTGTAGGTAAGACTTTTTCAGGTACTTTTGCAGATCCGTCATAGGGAAAAGTGGGTCCACGTTTCCTTTTAGAGTGGCTGTATCCTTATGTGCTAACTATGACTACACCTTCGGTTCAGGGACCAAGTTAACTGTTGTAGGTAAGGCTGGGGGTCTCTAGGAGGGGTGCGATGAGGGAGGACTCTGTCCTGGGAAATGTCAAAGAGAACGGAGATCCCAGCTCCTGGGGCCAGGTTAAGGGAGACGTCATCTCATGTCCCAGGAGTGAGTTCAGAGGAGGCTCCCTGTAAGGGCAAATCCGCCCAGGCTTCCCAGAGGCTCTGAGCAGAGTCAGAGCTGAGCCCAGGCTGATGGGGCAGAAGAGGGAAGGGGAGGGTGCCTCTCCTCATAGTGCCCTGAGACAGGGGAGGCCAGAGAAAGCCCGGTGGGTAGTTAATGAGTCACAACACCTCTCCATCCATCTGCTTCACTAACAGAGGTTCTCTGTAGATTCTTCGTATATTCTTGTGCTGGATTTTATAGGAGGCCACTCTGTATCTCTTTTTGTCACCTGCCCGGGTCTTGAGCAAGCTCTGGAAGGGAACGCAGAGTGCTGGAAGCAGAGCTGGTGTCTCTGTAAGGGAAGAGTTCCATGAACTCCCAGCCTCTGCCTGAATCCCAGCTGTGCTCAGCAGAGGCTAGGCGGTTTTGAAGTGGCCCTGGGAGGCTGTGTTCTGGAAACACCGTGTATTTTGGAGAGGGAAGTCGGCTCACTGTTGTAGGTGAGTAAGTCACGACTGGACAGCTGGGAACTTGCAAAAAGGGGCTGGAATCCAGACAGAGCCTTGTCTCCAGTGCTTAGGTTAAAGCGTATTTTTATCAGGAAGACCTACGAGGGAGATGAGGAGGGGATAGCCTCCCTCTCCACTATTTTGTAGACTGCCTGTGCCAAGTTATGTTCCTCTACTGAGAGATGGGTAGACTCAGCTTGGAAGGGGTCACTTTGAGCATCTCCTGTCTCCTTGAAGGGTGCCAGTCATGGCCATGACAGATAAAGGAGCCTCTGACCTTACCACCATGGTCCTGCCATTTCTCTCCCTCACACAGAAAGGAGAAGGTCACAGAAGAGGGAACTTGGGGGATCACACGGGGCCTCTTGGTCTGCTGACCACTGCGTTTCGGATTGTACCATTGTCTACCCCTCTACCTAGCAGGGTTAAAAATCTACTAGGGAACAGGAGAAGACCTGGCAGGTGGACTTGGGGAGGCAGGAGTGGAAGGCAGCAGGTGGCAGTTTTCCTCCCAGTCTTTAATGTTGTGCAACTAATGAAAAACTGTTTTTTGGCAGTGGAACCCAGCTCTCTGTCTTGGGTATGTAAAAGGCTTCTTTTGGGATAGTGTGTTATAAGGTTGGAGTTCCAGGAGGACCCCTTGGGGAGGGTAGACACTGAGAACACAGCCAAGAAAAGCTCAGAAAATGTGGGTCAGTGGAGTGTGTGGTGGGGCCCCAGGAGTTCTGTGTGGGAGCAGCTTCTGGAAGGAAGGGCCTGCACCAGCTCCTCTGGGGTTTGCCACACTCATGATGCACTGTGTAGCAATCAGCCCCAGTATTTTGGAGACGGCACTCGACTCTCCGTCCTAGGTAAGTTGCAGAACCAGGGTGGTAGGACCATTGTCCCTTGGAGGCACAGTTCTCTGTTTCTCCTTCCAGCACTGGTGAGGAGGATTGAGTGAAATCTCTTACCCTGTGGAGTTCCACAGAGCTGTGCCTGCCTTCCCTTTTGGTGTGTCTTGGCTGACTCCTCTATTTCTCTTCTCTAAGTCTTCAGTCCATAATCTGCCTCCTCACTCCCTTCTCGGCTCGTCCTCCCTCTTATGTGCATGGCTCTGCCTCTCCTAAGCCTCTTCCTCTTGTGCCTCATGTCACACAGTATGCTTAGGCCTTTTTCCTAACAGAATCCCTTTAGTCCAGAGCCATGAATCCAGGCAGAGAAAGGCAGCCATCCTGCTGTCAGGGAGCTAAGGCTTGCCCTCTGGCTGGAGATCTCCAGGTGGGTTTTATCTAAGCCTCTGCAGCTGTGCTCCTATAATTCGCCCCTCCACTTTGGGAACGGGACCAGGCTCACTGTGACAGGTATGGGGGCTCCACTCTTGACTCGGGGGTGCCTGGGTTTGACCGCAATGATTTGTTGCTGGGAAGGGAATTGGATGTAAGAATGGAGGTCAGGGTCACCCCTTCCTACCTGGAGCACTGTGCCCTCTCCTCCCTTCCCTGGAGCTCTTCCAGCTTGTTGCTCTGCTGTGTTGGCTGCAGCTCCTCAGCTGTAGAGCTCCTTGCTTAGTCTTCAGGGCTGTGTGTTTTTTCACTCTTCTTTTCATTGTTTTCTGGGACTCTTCTCATCTCTACTTTCTTAGTGGATATATTGTTTTACTTTCCCTTTTTTAAACTGCATCTTCTCCTTTTTTATCTTCCCATTCTAACTCCAGTTCTGCATTGTTGACTCCATTTGGTGACTAGCTCTGTCTTCTCTCTTAAGATTCTCCCCACTGCCAGCCTCCAGCACAGAACTCTGCTCATGCCTTCATCTTCCTCCTTCTTTCTCTACTAGTCTTAGAAGATACATCTATGTCTTCCTGAGGTAGTTAAAAGGTTCATGAGCCAGGGGGGACCAGGCTGGGGAGACGAGTGGTTTCAGGGCTGCTCTTGAAGCCTGAGGGCAGAAGTCCCTGTCACAGCACTGGGTGAGCTGCAGGGAGTCTCTGAGGTGCCCCGTGCTTGGCAGGTGTTTGAGAGAGAGGTCTGAAGAGAGTGTTACAACTGGAAACTGACATTATCTTAGCAACAGATAAGATATAAAGAAGACAAAATGGGTAGGAGACTATTTTTTTTTTTTTCTGAGATGGTGTCTAGCTCTGTTGCCCAGGCTGGAGTGCAGTGGCACAATCTCGGCTCACTGCAACCTCCGCCTCCTGAGTTGGAGTGATTCTCCTGCCTTGGCCTCCCAAGTAGCTGGGATTACAGGTGCCTGCCACCACACCCAGCTACTTTTTGCATTTTTAGTAGAGATGGGGTTTCACTGTGTTAGCCAGGCTGGTGTCGAACTCCTGACCTCGTTATCCGCCCTCCTCGGCCTCCCAAAGTGCTGTTATCATAAACGTGAGCCACCGCACCTGGCCGAGACTTCATTTTCTTAAGCCTCAGAATTTGTGCTGGAATAATAGCATAAAGGCCCCACCAGGAAGCCCTAGTACAACCTTCCTGATGCTGGGGAGGAAGGAGACAGGCCGTGGAGCGGGGTTGGGATAGGATGAGGTCTAGGATGGAGACACAGACAAGGATGGAGGAATGGGACGCACAGGGTCTACCGAAGGTTAGGGGCTTGGGCAGACATTCACGTAGGTGGGGACACACACCAGGGAGTTGAGTGGAAAGTACAAATCACCAGATTCAAAGGACTGGGTTCAAGGGGCTGTGGTGGGGAAGGTGTGCAATTTGAAAAGCAACTTAAGCTGCCTCCTTCTCTCTAAGACATAGAAACGGAAGGGACTAACTTATATGAAAATCCTTTGTAAAGGATTCCGTAAAAGATTCAACTAGTGGTGACAATCCTTTTCATTCCTGTTGTTTATCATCACTGGGTCACAGGGTTTGCCTTTTTCCAAACCTGCATCTCAATTTTGCCATCAAAAACATTTCCCAAATTTGGATAAAGAACCCATATCTAGACTTGCCACATTTCTGAACCAAAAGCTCACTCTCATGGTTGGAACAGAGCCAAGCAAAGGGCACGGTAAATTGTGGTTTCTTCCACTCTTCTTGTGTCTTCAGATGAGATCATTCATTCCAAAGATCCCAGAAATTCTTTTTCTCCTCTGTCAAGCATGTGAAAGGGTCCAGAGCTCTGCAGTGTGAGCCTTCTACTGAAATGGCCCTTGGACTTTGTGGTTCATTCATACTCAATGGTCTAGCTTGCACTACTTCTGAAAATGCAAAGCTTAGCTGTAGATGGATTCCAATCCTGGCCAGGCAGAGTTGCTGGACACTCTGAGAGAAGAAAGGGTTAATCCCATGACCATCAGCTTCCATGGGATTTCAGCCATCCTGGACAAGTTACCACACCCTCCTGTGCCCCAGGGGAGGAGGAAATGTGGACCATCCCATCAGATATTGACGAGGTTTGGCTCTTTAAAGAGGGTTACATGCAAGAAAAGAAAATTTTTTAAAAAGGTGCTGCGCAGGTGGGGGAGTCAGATGTAATGGAAAAGTGTCTTTTCTAGAAAAGAAAAGCTAATTCTAACATGTATTACTATCCCACGAGACAAATAAATACATTTTGATTTTAAAAAGGAAAATTATAATTAGAAAAAATCAATTTAGTTATTGTAATTATGCCACTAATGAGAGTCTCCTACCTCAAGTTTCAGGATTACATAGCCATGCACCAAGTAAAGCTTTGAAGAATAAAGCTACACAGATAAATTATTTGGATAGATGATCAGACAAACCTCAGTAAAAACAGCCAAGACAATCAGGATATAATGTGACTATAGGAAGCTGGGGAGACAGTAGGCAATGTGCATCCATGGGACAGCATAGAAAGAAGGGGCAAAGTGGAGAGAGAACAACAAATACTAGGATGGTGACCCCAAAACAATGAGGGCCTAGAATGACATAATTGTGCTTCATTATGGCCCATTCCCAGCCCTCTCTCTCCCACACACACAGAGCCCCTACCAGGACCAGACAGCTCTCAGAGCAACCCTGGTTCCAACCCCTCTTCCCTTTCCAGAGGACCTGAAAAAGGTGTTCCCACCCAAGGTCGCTGTGTTTGAGCCATCAGAAGCAGAGATCTCCCACACCCAAAAGGCCACGCTGGTGTGCCTGGCCACAGGCTTCTACCCCGACCACGTGGAGCTGAGCTGGTGGGTGAACGGGAAAGAGGTGCACAGTGGGGTCAGCACGGACCCACAGCCCCTCAAGGAGCAGCCCGCCCTCGAGGACTCCAGATACTGCCTGAGCAGCCGCCTGAGGGTCTCGGCCACCTTCTGGCACAACCCCCGCAACCACTTCCGCTGCCAAGTCCAGTTCTATGGGCTCTCGGAGGATGACGAGTGGACCGAGGACAGGGACAAGCCCATCACCCAAAAGATCAGCGCCGAGGCCTGGGGTAGAGCAGGTGAGTGGGGCCTGGGGAGATGCCTGGAGGAGATTAGGTGAGACCGGCTACCAGGGAAAATGGAAAGATCCAGGTAGAGGACAAGACCAGATCCAAAAAGAAAGGAACCAGCACATACCATGAAGGAGAACTGGGCACCTGTAGTTCATTCTGCCAGATTCTCAGCCCAACAGAGCCAAGCAACTGGGTCCCCTTTCTATGTGACCTGTGTATCTCTCATCTGAGTGGTACCCCCCAGCCCCCTCAGTGCTGCCACATGCCATGGATTGCAAGGACATTGTGGCTGACATTGGCACGGCAGAGGAAAGGAGGTGCTGGGCTGTCAGAGGAAGCTGGTCTGGGCCTGGGAGTCTGTGCCAACTGCAAATCTGACTTTACTTTTAATTGCCTATGAAAATGAGGTCTCTCATTTATTTTCCTCTTCCTGCTTTCTTTCAGACTGTGGCTTCACCTCGGGTAAGTAAGCCCTTCCTTTTCCTCTCCCTCTCTCATGGTTCTTGATCTAGAACCAAGGCATGAAGAACTCACAGACAACGGAGGGTGGAGGGTGGAGGGTGGGAGAGACCAGAGCTATCTGTGCACAGGTATCCACCTGTCCTTCCTCCCTGCCAACAGTGTCCTACCAGCAAGGGGTCCTGTCTGCCACCATCCTCTATGAGATCCTGCTGGGGAAGGCCACCCTGTATGCTGTGCTGGTCAGTGCCCTCATGTTGATGGCCATGGTAAGCAGGAGGGCAGGATGGGACTAGCAGGCTGGAGGTGACACATTGACACCAAGCAACTCAGACCCAGAAGTATAGAGTCTCTGCCAGGATTGGAGCTGGGCAGTAGGGAGGGAAGAGGTTTCATTCAGGTGCCTCAAAAGATAGCTTGCACCTCTGTAGGATCACAGTGGAAGGGTCATGCTGGGAAGGAGAAGCTGGAGTCACCTGAAAATCCAATGGATGTTGTGATGAGCCTTACTATTTGTAAGGTCAACGGACCCTACTACTTCCTCTCAATCCTCACAACTCCTGGCTCTTAATAACCCCCAAAGCTTTCTCTTCTGCAGGTCAAGAGGAAGGATTTCTGAAGGCAGCCCTGGAAGTGGAATTAGGAGCTTCTAACCCGTCGTGATTTCAATATACATTCTTCTTTTGCCAGTGCTTCTGAAGAGCTGCTCTCACCTCTCTACATCCCAATAGATACCCGCTATGTGCATGCACGCCTGCACACTCACGGCTGAAATCTCCCTAACCCAGGGGCACCTTAGCATTCCTAAGTGACTAAGCCAATAAAAATGTTCTGATCTGGCCTGACTCTGAGTTGTGAATGTCTGGATAGCTCCTTGGCTGTCTCTGAACTCCCCGTGACTCTCCCCATTCAGTCAGGATAGAAACAAGAGGTACTCAAGTAAAATGCAGACTCTTCACATAAGAAGAGTAAGGGGCCCACCTTGAGATCAATAGCAGAGGTTAATTCAATGTGAAAGGCAGTGATGGGAGCTGAAGAGGTTACTCCTAGAACAGTCTAGGAAGACACAGATGTTGAGTATAGGAATTTTCTATATCCAACTATACTGTTCTGCCCAGAAAAGACGTGTTCAGAGGAAGAGCCAACCTATACAGGTGTATTCACCCTCCAGCTGGCCATGTCCCCATGACTAACAAAGCTGGGTTCCATATGCATCACCCACCTTCCTCGCAGCTATCTTACTGAGCACTCCATTCATCCTCATTGGTTCACCAAGTTGATTTCCCAGCTCTGAAGAAGAGATGCTCTGACTTGGAAACTTATTTTCAATGGAAGATGTGTCCTCCAGTTTCACTTACCAATCTGTTTATAAATTTCTCTCTAGTGAATTAAACCAGTGTGAAAATGTCCCCTGATCATTCCCAGAAGGATCGAAAATAAAGTTATCTAAAACTGGGAATCAGCCCCTCCCTACTTTTAGAATTCCTTCAAAAGCTCTCCGTTGTCTCACTGTCACCATGGTAATGGAGTGCCAAATCCTAAAGGTGGCACAGAAGACCTGATGATTATCCCCATCTCCTTCCACACTCTCCTCACTTCTCTCATCCCTGAAGCCCCTGAGCTTCTTCTTTCAAGACACTTTGCACATGCTCTTCCTCCTGGGGTGATAAAGTACTCTTCTCCCCATGGTAACTCTTGTTTAGACTTAAAGATTTAGCTTCTACGTCTTCCCCTCCAAAAAGCTTTCTCTGGCCCTTTCTTGCCCCTTCCTTACCTCTTCTTCCCCTGAAGCTGGATTAAATACACCCTTTATTTTGCTATCACAGTGCCTTGTGTATAATCTTCTTTGTGATACATCACACTTGCTGGAAACTACCTCTTTATTTGTCTGATACCCCCAGGGACTATGAACTCCTTGTTAACAAGGATGCATTTGATGATAGCATCCCAGGGCTATAGTATAGAACCTCAGTTTAGTGTAGACACCACATAGGTATGTATGAATAAAAAAATGAATAAATGAGTGAACCCAAAATGACTCAACCCGGGAGCAATCATCACCATAAGTCTTGCCTGAAATAGCCATTACCCTTCCATTTATAGGACTACACCACACAGTCTTCCCTCTTTGTTGCAACACATACATGCATTCAAAGATGCATGTGTGCATGTATGCACACGTGTGTATATATATGTTTATATTTACACACATGTACACACATCCACTCATTAAACACATATCCCTGCGATGTGTTGTTATCAACTTCCAAGAAAATTAAGATACCCAATTACAGTCCCCAAGAAGCTTATCTGTTCACAGAGCGACTCAATCATGAACAGAAAGAGCCGCATGCAAGTCCATGCTTTGAAAGAGCAACATGAACTGCTTACTAAAATGCAGTCAGAGAATGGTCCTCAATTTCTTACTGGGATAATCAGGAAAGAGTCTGAGAAGGTGGCAATCTCTTCAAAGGAAGAATTGGTCTCAGTTGTTCACTCCAGAGAATGGCCGTGCTGATCAGAGGCATGAACAAAAGCCCTAATGACATGGTTAGGTACCTCTGGGTAGGCCCATTTAGCTGGCTGCAAGGTTCAGAAATGGGAGTAATCAAAATTAGCGCTGGAAAGGCAGGTTGGTGCATGCCACCCTGGGAATGAACTTATCTCCATGCAACCAGCATGGAGCCTGCACATGGTGGAAGTTCACTAAACACTTGTGGAGTAAATGAAGACTCTGGAGTTCGGACTTTGTTCAGGAAGCAACAGAACAAAAGAAAATTACAGAGGTTTCTGGATTGTTTGTCCTCCTGTCATATGGTGCCATCCACTGCTCTGCGGATTTTCCTATGAGCTGCCCTGCCACCCCTCGCTCCTCCCACCCACTTCACTATAAATGCCAGTCTGAGCAGATGGGCACAGTGAGCCCCACCAGGGAGACCCAGTGACATAGATGGTCTGCTCAGGGTGGTGCCTGTTCCAAGGAGGGGCCCCTCCACCCCCCCCCCACCATTACCATCACTGTGACTTTCCCCAAGCCCTTCCCATTTTAATTTACTGCCTTTGTCTTTTCCAAGCCCCACACAATCAGACTAACCTCTGCCACCTGCGCTTCCTGCCTCTGCCCAGTGGTTGGGGGAGGGAGACTATCAGGGAGGAAACATTTTTGTATCACGGTGTAACATTGTGGGGACTGGGGGGAGCACAATGATTCAGGTAGAGGAGGTGCTTTTACAAAAAACCCTGCTGCCAAAAACATCCCCACCCAGCCCAGGGAATGCAGCTACCAGGTGGGAAGAGGTCTCTGGGGCTGTTCCCAGCTGTTGTCTTGCAGGGTCCTCCAACCCAGAGAGCCCCTGTCCATCTTCCTGTCCACACTCAGCTTCCTAGAAATAAGAAGGCCAAGACAGCGAAGTGGGATTATCACTCAGCACTTTTAATAAAACTTGTTCTTGACAAAGTACTTGCACATGCATTATTTATTAAGACTGATGAAAATCCTGAGGGAAAGATATTGTCCCATTTTTCCGATGAGGAAACTGAAATCAGAGAGGTTACGCGTCATATAACTAGGAAGAGGCAAGGTCTAGCAGTGCAACATCGCCCAGCTCCAGGCATTCCAGTACCACCAATGCCCCTTCAGATTTCAAAGCCACTGTGTTGTCCCCAAGCCAAGTGGATTCTCCTCTGCAAATTGGTGGTGACCTCAGGCAAGATCCAAGTTACCGTGTCCAGATAATTCGAGACAGGAAGAGACAGGCTCAGGAAAGAGAGGGAGGGTGTGCTCTCTATCTGTGCTAAGGGAGGTGGGGAAGGAGAAGGAATTCTGGGCAGCCCCTTCCTGCTGTGCTCCTACGGTGAGCAGTTCTTTGGGCCAGGCACACGGCTCACCGTGCTAGGTAAGAAGGGGGCTCCAGGTGGGAGAGAGGGAGGGCTGCCCAGCCTGGACGACCCCAGAACCCTGTTCTTAGGGAAGTGGACACTGGGCCATCCAGGGCCCTCCTCGGGGAAAGCTGGGTTTGCGCCAGGGTCCCCAGGGCTGTGCTAACACCGCGCAGCTGTTCTTTGGAGAAGGCTCTAGGCTGACCGTGCTGGGTAAGGGGGTGGTTGGGGCTCCGGAGCGCTCCGAGAGGGCAGGATGGGCAGAGTTGAGCAGCTGCCCCACTCCGAGAGGGGCTGTGCTGAGAGGAGCTGCTGGGCGTCTGGGCCGAGGACTCCTGGTTCTGGGTGCTGGGAGGGCGATGGGGCTCTCAGCGCTGGGAAGGACCCAAGCTGAGTCTGGGACAGCAGGGCGGGCAGCACCGGTTTTTGTCCTGGGCCTCCAGGCTGTGAGCACAGATCCGCAGTATTTTGGCCCAGGCACCCGGCTGACAGTGCTCGGTAAGCGGAGGCTCCCGCGGAAGCCCGGGAACCGGGGAGGGGCGCTCCGGGAGGCCGGGGGCATAGCAGGGCCAGTTTTTGTGCTGCGTCTCGGGGCTGTGAGCCAAAACACTCAGTACTTCGGCGCCGGGACCCGGCTCTCAGTGCTGGGTAAGCTGGGGGCGCCGGGGGACCTGGGGAGAGACGGCGCTCGGGTTTTTGTGTGGGGCTCGGGGGCCGTGACCAAGAGACCCAGTACTTCGGACCAGGCACGCGGCTCCTGGTGCTCGGTGAGCGCGGGTCTCAGGGGCGCGGGCGCGGGCGGCTTGGGTCCGGTTTTTGTGGGGAGTCCCCTGGCTGTGCTCTGGGGCCAACGTCCTGACTTTCGGGGCCGGCAGCCGGCTGACCGTGCTGGGTGAGTTGCCGCGGGAACATCCGGACCGCGGGGTTGGGGTGGAAGGTGGCTGCTTCGCGGCACCTGGTCCCGCCCTGTGCTAGGAGACCTGGGCTGGGTCCCCAAGGTGGGCAGGAGCTCAGGGAGCCTTAGTGGTTTGCGTGCCGGGGTGCACCTCCGTGCTCCTACGAGCAGTACTTCGGGCCGGGCACCAGGCTCACGGTCATAGGTGAGATTCGGGCGTCTCTCCACCTCCCAGCCCCTGGGTCCCCGGGGTCGGAGGGCAGACCGGAGCTAGAGGAGCTGGGTGTCCGGAGCGGGAGGAGCTGCGTGTCCGGGGTCAGCTCTGCAGCGTCACCTCCCTGCTCCTGGGAAGACACTGGGGAAGAGGGAAGGGGTGGGCAGGTGCTCAGAGTCCGGGAAGCTGAGCAGAGGGTAAGGCCGCTTTTAATCTTTTTTCTGGGGTGTTTAGAGAGAAGGCGAACGATGGAGAAGAGAGAATTTGTTAGGATTCTGGGAGAGGCGAAACTGGAGAGGACGAAGGGAAATCCTGGTTTGGGGAATGGGTAGGAATGTGGGTAACTGCTACCGGTAGGCAAAAAGAGCTGAGAGGGCTGGGAGCAGTGCGGGTGGGCAGGGGTCAGCATTGCGGGCAGGCGGGTGGATGTCAGGTGGCAGAAATCCTACAGCCGAGGGTGCAGTAGAACAGAGCAGAAAAAGCCTGCCAAACAAAAGTGGGACAGAGAGGCCAAAAAGAGAGATGAACATGAGTCAGGAAAGAATGAAAGTTTACTCTTTACAAGTGTAGATCTATAATCCGACTTAAAACTCCTGTTCCTGGTTCCTATTCCTCCTAAACCAGAGATCCCTGGGTCCAGGGTGAGGGCACAGTATTCATGCTTGCCCATGGGCTGGTCAGCAAAGAGGTGCTGACCTGAGAGTAGGGCACATAACCTCAGCCACTGGGGTATACTTACCACCCCTGCCTCCATGTAGCTCCCTCCCCTATCCTGAAATCTCCCTTTAGCAGACTAAGTATTCTAGGATAAACAGCCCAGAAGTTCAGGGAGTTCATTTGCCACAAACACACATTTAAAATGCGGACATTTTTGCCTGAGAGACAAGGAAAATTCTCTGGAAGATTTTAGGCCCTGAGAGCTGAAAAGGGGCCCTAAACGTTACCTGGTGAGGACTGCCCTGAGGCCAGAGAAGAGAACTCACGATATTGGTATATTAACCTGTACCATTTGTAATTAGGCTGTCATTAAGCCGGATGTAATGGGGCTCAGCTACAGTGAAGTGTATCCAGAGGAAATGTAGGGTTCCTGCAGTCAACTGGGACGCAGAAAAGACCCAGACTTGAGAGCCAGACAAAGGCCGAGTTTGAACCTCTGGTTCTTTTGTGATGTGGTGACCTTGGGGAAATTAATGTGTGTATCTCAGTTTCCTCAACTATAAAATATAATGAACAATACCTACCACTTACTATTGCTGTGAAGAAGAAAAGAGAATCAACATGTAGAGTGCACAGATTATTGATGTAATTCAATGCTTCTTTTCCCCATCCTCCTAGGAGGTCACTAGGGAGGCAGGGGGAAGGGTCAGCCCAGTGCCAAAGGATGGGCAGGATCTGGAGTATGGAAATGGAGTAAGGCTGTGTCTGTGTTAGAGGTGGGTTGGGAAGATGTGAGACAAATATCACAATTTTGCCTAAGGTGAACCCAACCCACAAGTAGAGCACAGGCCAACAGCAGCTCACTAGTACACACACTTACACCAGCAGCTCACTAGTGCATACACTTACACCAGCAGCTCACTAGTACACACACTTACACCAGCAGCTCACTAGTACACACTTACACCAGAAGCTCATTAGTACACACACACCCTCAGCTTGCTAGTACACACACTTACACAAGAAGCTCACTAGTATACACTTACACCAGTAGCTCACTAGTCCACACACTTACACCAGAAGCTCACTAGTATACACACTTACGCCCACAGAGACAAGCCCCACACCACAGGGACTCACAAATGCAGGAGAGTTGCCCCTGCCCTCATGTACAGATAGTGTGTTGGTGTGCGGTGAGAGGCGGCTAGCATTCACCATGCCTATTGCATCAATAACTATTCTACAAAACAGCATGCATGGTCAAGGGACATTTTTAATTTTTACAATGGGGACTGAGTGTTTGCTAAATGAAGAGATCAATTGAGTGCATTCTGGAGGGCTGGTGGACTCCCAGAGCCAGGGCTTTTGAGATGAGAGTGAAAATAAGCAGGTTGAGAGCAGAAAGAAAGAAAGTGCTGCAGATAGAAGTTAGGATATCATCATTTAGCCCCAGCCCAGCTAGTGAAGACTTAGAAGCATAGTGGTAATTAGCAAGGTAGGAGTTGTGGGGAGGAAGGGAAACTGACATGATGGGAAGCAGGACCAGCTACAGAATTTGCAGGACCAGCTCAAAATGAAAATGCGGGGGCTCTTGTTAAAAAACGACTTAGGATTTCAAAATGGTGACAGCAGCGCACTAAACCAAGCAGAGAGCCCTTCCAGCAGGAGGCCCCATGGGGACCCAGGAAGGAGGTCACATCCACACTAATCTGAAGAAATGTCAGAATAAATTTTCTCCATTGTCCAGGAGATTCGGAATAGGTTCTCCTAAGACTGATATTTCTTCACTTTAATAGAGTTACTCAGAAATGAAAAATAATCAACGGGAAGAAAAAGAAAAAAAAAAGATAAGATGAGTAGGAGGGCAGGTCCAAAAGAAGTAATTCAACCAAATGAGAAGGGTCCTCAGGGATTAAAGGGGATGCATTTACATGTCATCCCTAAGAATCTACAAAGGATATGCTCAGGACAGAAACTGTATCAACACAACTAGTAGCAAGAAATTACTCTGATCATATCAGATGTTTATTTGGGGAACTTGCTAGTAGAAAAAAAAATACATATAATATTTGGATGCAAAGGGACACAGAAGGTTGAAGGGTCCCTAATTTTGAAATAAGGGAAGATACTATCTGTCTGAGCTGAGAAAACTCAGGAGTACCTGGAGGCAGAGGAATGGATAAGATGACTTCATGCCCCACAAAAAGAAAAAACCTCACATTCTCATGAACACACTGTAAAACCAAAGGCTGTCCTCATGTGAGTGCAAAAAACAGGCCATTTGTAAATCTAAAGAAAGTCCCTAGTTCCAAAATGCCTCCCTCATCCCAGATTCCCCTTCCTTCCTAGCACCTTAGATTTGATATAAATAACCTCCTTGGGAGGGGGCTTTTTGAATTCGTACATAATTTAACCTTCACACACTTTCTGCAAAGTCAGAACGGTGATTCATACTTCACAAGCAGAAAAAAGTGATAGGAATTTCTGTCTTAAAAGTCTCGTTGGTGGACAAAGGAAGTTCTAGGATTTGGATCTTGTTTTTTGGGGTTCCAATCCCTTGCTCCAGTTAAAAAACTACCACATAAAATGGTGAGAAGTAGGTAGGCAAGTTGTTACTGATGGAGAGGAAATCAAATAATGGCAATGAAGAGACATTGCCTAGAATGTTAGGCAATGCCTAATTGGGAGATGGACAGACAATGGATAGTGCCAACCCATAGGTTGGATACAAAAGACAGGCAAGGAAGGGGTAGAATCATCAAAGAGGAATAGGGTGGTGACTCCAAAGCAAGGAGGACTTAGTAACATAATTGTGCTTCATTATGGTCCTTTCCCAGCCCTCTCTCTCTCACATACACAGAGCCCCTACCAAGACCAGACAGCTCTCAGAACAACCCTAGCCCTATCCCCTCTTCCCTTTCCAGAGGACCTGAAAAAAGTGTTCCCACCCAAGGTCGCTGTGTTTGAGCCATCAGAAGCAGAGATCTCCCACACCCAAAAGGCCACGCTGGTGTGCCTGGCCACAGGCTTCTACCCCGACCACGTGGAGCTGAGCTGGTGGGTGAACGGGAAAGAGGTGCACAGTGGGGTCAGCACGGACCCACAGCCCCTCAAGGAGCAGCCCGCCCTCGAGGACTCCAGATACTGCCTGAGCAGCCGCCTGAGGGTCTCGGCCACCTTCTGGCACAACCCCCGCAACCACTTCCGCTGCCAAGTCCAGTTCTATGGGCTCTCGGAGGATGACGAGTGGACCGAGGACAGGGACAAGCCCATCACCCAAAAGATCAGCGCCGAGGCCTGGGGTAGAGCAGGTGAGTGGGGCCTGGGGAGATGCCTGGAGGAGACTGGGTGAGGCCAGCTACCAGGGAAGATAAAAAGATCCATGTAAAGGACAAGACTAGATCCAGAGGAAAGTCAGAGTGGACAAGGTGGGACGATCAAGGAAGTGTGCACTTCCTCCCCAAGAAGCATAGAGGCTGAATGGAGCACCTCAAGCTCATTCTTCCTTCAGATCCTGACACCTTAGAGCTCAGCTCTCAGGTCCCCCTGAGGACAAGCCATACAGCTCAACACCTGAGTGGTGTGTGGCCCATTCCCTTCTGGGGTCCTGGTTTCCTAAGATCATAATGACCACGTCGCTGGCACTGGAGCAGCATGAGGGAGACAGAACCAGAGCTATCAAAGGAGGCTGACTTTGTACCATCTGATATGCATGTGCTTGTGGCCTGTGAATCTGTGATGTAAGGCTCAGTGTCCTTACAAAGTAGCATTCTCTCACCCATTTTTCTTCCCCTGTTTTCTTTCAGACTGTGGCTTCACCTCTGGTAAGTGAGTCTCTCCTTTTTCTATCTTTCACTGTCTCTGCTCTCTAACAAGGGCATGGAGAATCCACAGACATGGGGGCGTGAGGGAGGCCAGAGCTACCTGTACACAGGTACCTACATGCTCTCTGTTCTTGTCAACAGAGTCTTACCAGCAAGGGGTCCTGTCTGCCACCATCCTCTATGAGATCTTGCTAGGGAAGGCCACCTTGTATGCCGTGCTGGTCAGTGCCCTCGTGCTGATGGCCATGGTAAGGAGGAGGGTGGGATCGGGCAGATGATGGGGGCAGGGGATGGAACATCACACATGGGCATAAAAGAACCTCAGAGCCACAGCACAGCCTAATATATCCTATCATCTCAATGAAACCATAATGAAACCAGACTGGGGAGAAAATGCAGGGAATATCACAGAATGCATCATTGGAGGATGGAGACAGCCAGCGAACCCTACTCAAATCAGGCTTCAGAGCCCACCTCCCCTGCCCTATTCCTGCTGCGCCATAGCCCCTGAGACCCTGAAAATGTCCTCTCTTCCGCAGGTCAAGAGAAAGGATTCCTGAGGCTAGCTCCAAAGCCATCCCGGGTCATTCTTCATCCTCACCCAGGATTCTCCTGTACCTGCTCCCAATCTGTGTCCCTAAAAGTGATTCTCTCTCTGCTTCTCATCTCCTTATGTGAATACTTCCCTCTTTTTGCTATTTCCCTGAAGATTGAGCTCCCGACCCCCAAGTTTGAAAAAGACTAAACCAATAAAAAATGGTTGTGCTGAGCCTGGTTGCATTTCAGGAGTGTCTGTGGAGCTCTGCTCATCGCTGACCTATCTTCTAATTTAGGGAAAGCAGCATCCACTTCGGCATCCGAAGTGACTAGCCCTCTCTCCACCCTATGCTGCTTTCTCCCGTTCATCCTGATGGAAGTCCTCAAACACCATTTCCAAACCCAGGCATTCTGGGTCCCCACTGGATGGTTAGTCTGAAGGGCAATGGCTGGGCTCTGGAAAACCAGCAAGATGAGGACAGAGAGGAAGGCACACAGTAAACCACAACCCCTTACCCAGTGTAGGACAGAGGATTGGGGCAGGCCTATGGGTTACAATATCTAGTCATTGCTGGGCGCAGTGGCTCACGGCTGTAATCCCAGCACTTTGGGAGGCCGAGGCGGGTGGATCACGAGGTCAGGAGATCGAGACCACCCTGGCTAACACGGAGAAACCCCGTCTCTACTAAAAATACAAAAAAATAGCCGGGCGTGGTGGCGGGCACCTGTAGTCCCGGCTACTCGGGAGGCTGAGGCAGGAGAATGGCGTGAACCCAGGAGGCGGAGCTTGCAGTGAGCCGAGATTGCGCCACTGCACTCCGGTCTGGGTGACAGAGCGAGACTTCGTCCCCCCCGCCAAAAAAAAAAAAAAAAAACAATATCTAGTCATTTCCCAATTCCAGATTAAAGTGTCACATGTTACACCTTTAGTTTTATTCGTGTATAGTCTTAACACCTCCAGCTTATCTTGTTTCAGGATTTGGGCTTAAAATTGAGTGCTACTCTGCACGTCTAGGTTGAAATACTAGAGAAAGCAGAGTTGAGACAACTGATATGTAAAGCCTGGGGACGAGTGATTTCCCAGGAGCAAGACACACCAAGTCAGGAGCAATGGGACATAGGGCCCAGTGGGGGCCGAAGTGCTATGTTCAGAGTAGCCCTTCCAATGGGCTTCTGCGTTTGATGAATGGAAACTCAATCACTCCAAACACAAGGTGTTAACTGCTCCTACTTGGGCAAAGACAGTTATCCTGACAAGGAAAATTCTGCATACAGGCTGAATGCATTGTGGTAAAACACTACATGAATGGGATTAAAGAAAAGGGGGCCTGTAACAGTGAGAGGGGCTGAGAGAGGCCATATCAAAATTAGTTGAGGCAGACTGTCAGGGAAGAGAAGCGAAGTCCGAAAGCAGAGAAAGGGTGGGAAAGAGGAGGGAGCCCTTTGTTGAGAGCCTGCTTGCTTCAGGCGTTGGGCTGGACACTGCTACCTGTGCTGTCTGCATCTATACCATGATCCCAGAAGCAGGTATTATTTTCCCTATGTTACAGATGTGGAAACTGAAGATTACAGATCAAATTACTTATGAGTGGTGAAACCATGGCATGTTCTGTTGTGAAGATGGCAATTCCAGAAACTTTTCCCAAGTAGTGGCCAGGATGGTGGGATTGCTCCTGGTGTCTGGGTGATCGTAGAGCAGCTTCTCCCAAACTCCAGGCAGGGCCCATGCTAACACACTGAAGACACCTTAATGCTTTGGTGTCTTTACTTCCCCAGGCTGCTATAACAAAGTACCACTGGTGGGTTTAAAACGATAAAAACTTATTCTCTCACAGTTCTGGAGGCCAAAGATACAACATCTAGATTTCAGCAGGTCAGCCTCTATGAAAGTTCTGGGGGAGAATCCTTTCTTGCTTCTTCTCACTTCTGATGGCTTCTGGCACTCCTTGGCTTGTGCTAGCATCACAGCAATCTCTGCCTCTGTATTCACATGGCATTTTTCCCTGCGTCTCTGCATTTAAGCTCCCCTCTCCTTTCTCTTTTCAAGGCAAGGTCACTGGATTTAGGACCCATCCTAAATCCAGAACAATTTTATTGAGAAATCTTAACCAATTACACCTGCTAAGTCCCTATTTCCAAATAAGGTCACATTCTGAGTTTCTGAGTGGGCACGAATTCTGGGGGAACACTCTTCATCCCACTACACTGGGGATCTTGGAACTGGAGAAGAGGGTTCTCTGGTGGCAGCTTGCAAAGACCAGGAAAGGATGTGCCCACGGCAGGGATGGGGCCCAGGAAACTCATCACATGCCAGTCATTTCCATCAGTCGTAACTATCTCTAGATTGCGCAAATGGCAGTATGGTATTTTGTTGGCTATTGTTGTTACATATGTGTTGGTTTGTTTTTATATTGGCTAAAAAAAAAAAAAAAAAGCCTAAAACAAAGGGGACAGGTTTTAGGCCCTAGACCAGCATTCACAAAGCATGCTTCCCACTCCTTAGGCCTGGGTGGAGGCAGCAGGCATATCCTTGTGGCTCTTCACAAAGGTAGGACAGGAGGAGGAGCAGCCAAGGGAACAAGGAAGCACTTCAGAGAGAGCAGAGTTGTGGGGGCCAGAGGGCGCAGGCTAGGACTGAGGCATTGGAGGATAGTGGTTTGTGTGGGCAGAGCTGTGAGGGGCTGAGCAGCTGTAGTGCAAGACCAGAGTGGAGGTGGGGAGGGGGAAACACCTTGTAGAAGAAAGATGGTATCTGTTAGTTTGGTGGCCATGATCTTGGGGATGTGGAAAATGGAGGCATTAGCAGGTGGGAGGATGTGGGAGGAGCTTCTTGTTGGTACCCTAGAGTTTGCAACCAGACCAAGGTGAATGAAATCTCCTCTGGAGGATAAAAGGCCATGTGCATTTTACTCTCAGTCCAGGGGACCTGAGAGAGATGGAGAGAGCTTCAAGCTCCATCTGGTCCTCCCGACACCCTACTTGACCCAGGGCAGGTTCCTCTTCCCAAGTTTTTACAGCCATTTCCTTGTCTCTCTCAAGCAACACCCCCAACATTCAGCACACATGCACTGGGAAGTGAATCTCTTCTGCCTCTACCTGCCTCTTTCTCTAGAATCGAAGTGGATTCTTCTGGGCCAATTCTGGGTATCCTCTCCATTCTTTCTCAGGTAACACTGAGAAAAGATGAGTTAGATGTAGGGCAATCATATAACTTACTGTAAGAATTGAGATACCATTGAGAATGAAAGGGGCCACCAGCCACATGGGATGCTGGAACAAGAGGTGTAAACCAGGAATGGTCACAAGGCCCCTCCAGTGGAGAGACTCTGAGGGAGTTTCTGGGTGCAGCATTATTCCTGCAAAGGGAGGCACTAAAGAGATTCTACATCAACCTGGACTTGTTGACTGGTTCAAACCTCAGGGCTGACCTAAGCATTATCCTATTAAGAAACTATGTGGACAGAATACAGGGCAAGGCAGGGGCAACAGCATCCTACACAAGTGACACCCAGCGCAGAGCAAAGCATGGTTACTTATTGAAAAGAGTTACAAGATACGCGTCTCTGGAAGAATGCCCAGGGTACCCCAAGTTCTCGCTGAACTTACCATGGGGTAGCTCTTAAAGAGAAGAACTTCACCTGTGACCTTTACAGATTTATCTGGGAAATTGGAAGAAAAAGGGGGTCATCCAACTGGTCGCCTAATAAAATAACTTCTTTGTGGGGGAAATGGGATTCCCGTAGGCATCCCAGAGCTCCAGTCACCATCACTTCCTTAGAGGAAGAATCTTCTCACCAGCACCAGTATCCATAGAGATTTTCCTACTACTAGGCTTATTGCTGGGCTACACAAGGTAGACAAGTGGGGATGGTCGGGAGCTGCTGGGACCGTCCAAGAGAAAAAGGTTTTTTCTCTCTCAAGGGAGTGATTTCATAATAAGAGTTTGAGTTAAGGGCAATGGATCCTAATAGATATTACAGTCTCCATTTCCTGCCCTGAGCCATTTCCTCATTTTTCTTCTGTAGTGGCCCAGAAAGGAAGGCTGGAGATAGACTGACATCAGCCCCTAACAGTCTGTGTGACACACGGCCCCAAATGTCCTATATAGGAGAATCTTTGTGAGGTTTCTCTGGTTATAAATGAATGTGGGAATGGAATATTGGTGCTTTGAGACCTCTGTTGAAGCTGCATAGTGAAAACAAAAATGTGTTTTTACTTCTTCCTCAGGTAACGCTGAGCAAAGATATCTAGCCGTATTTTTCATTTAGGGGTGTTGGGAGATGCTGGTGGAGATCATGGGAATGGCTAAAACCCACAGGTGAACTCAGCTTTGCCATGGACCCATGAATGAATCCATTTTCTGCTTCTCTACTGACATCTTAGACTCATCCCCAGGTTTACTTTCACCATGTCCTGGAAACTCCCCTATACTATATAAGATGACTCATAGTATAGAATGGCATGAAGCATGGCCAACAGTTTTAATTACAGTTCATTTCCATTGCTTGTGGCAAACTCCCGTGGCTCCCAAAAAGCTGATTTCTGAGCCTTGGGACCCCATAACCTAAGACTTTACCCAACCTACCTAGACTCAAAACACAACATATTCCCTGTCTTATTCTAGGGTTGAATATTCTTTCCTCCTATCTGGAAGCCTTTCTTTTCTTGCTCTCTGTGTTTGTGAATTTGAAGTTCCTGGGTTCCTTAACATCCCTACATCTCTGCCTGTCCTTAAGATTTATTGTGGCAGAACTTGGTCTTTCCCTGAACCATCTCCCTCCAACAGACATGATATTTTCTATTCACCATCCCCCTCTCCTACAGACTCAGCTACATGTCTTTCTCTCCCATCTCTATCCGTAGTCTTTATATCTGTTGAGAGGGCTTCTTGGGGAATATGGGGTCCCAAAAATGAGTGAATGGCTTCTATAGGTCAGCAAAAAGGATCTGAAAATGAGCCTACACCTGTGACTATTTCCAAAGGATTTTTATCAGCTTGCTTTGCAACTGATCTCAACTGCCCTCTATGAATATGAGCATTTAATCCACATAACATGTAAAGCTAATTCTCAACTCCTTTTTGCCAACCTACAGTTGCTATTCACTTATCTCTGGGACCCCATATTCCCCCAAAAGCCCTCTCAGATGTCTACATGCAACAGAGTGCTCATATTCTGGCAAGAACCTGTAAACCTATGCGAGACAGAATCATTAGAAACTTTAAAACTTGAGTTTTCAGAATGGAAAAAGCATGTAGTAGATGGATGAAAACATTATCATAGCAAAGAAGATGTTTTAATGCAGAGACCTGGGTTTAAGCCTTAGTTCTGCCATTTATCAACTACGTGACCCTGGGCAGGTGATCACCTCTGAGACTCAGTTTTCCTTTCTGTAAAATGAGCTCAATTACAAGCCCAACTTCATAAGATGGTTTTATCTAATTTAACCCACACAACATGTAAAGCTTTTAGAACAACATCAGTAAGTAGTAGGTGTTATTATAAATACTACTAGCATGAAGATTTTTTTCAGGCTAAACGTTTTCAGTTTTCTCAGTTTTGTTATTATAGGGCACAGTTTTGAGCACGTCCTACTTTCCATGGCCAAACCAGTCCCTTCTGAAAATATTAAAGTTTGTTTTTATCCTTCTATCTTTATAAATGTGTTGTACAGGACCTGACCTGGCACCAGGTGGGTTCTGACCTACAGAGAGTAAAGAGGGAACTTTGCCTCCTCTTCTCAACATCTTATACGCTAGTTGGTTCCATTAGGACAATTTATCAACTTTTTGTACTCTCATCATCCCGTTGACTCACAGAGCTCACTTTGACTCACCCCCTGGGTGTTTTTCACACACCCTCTTTGTGAGCCACATATTCCCCTTCCTGTGTTCATACAGTTGGTTTTCTCTGTTTGGTGGGGGAGGAGGGAGAGAATGTTTATCATGTTTATTCAGCTTATCTCTCCAACCTGTCAAGATTCTGCAGGATTCTAATTTTGTGATTCATTATATTTATCCCTCTATCCTCATGCCATCTCATATATGATCATCTTGCCTGATTTATTCTTATATGAGTGATTCATAAAATTCATAGCTAGATCACAGCTCAACATAGAGCCTGCATTCCTCAAGCCTTATCTGAAGTCCAGGAGCTGCTAAAACACAGAGAATTTGCTTCTGGTCCTTCTCTGGCCCCAGCTGCATGGCTCTGAACAACTCATTTTTATTCTCTGGGCTTATATGTCCTCCTCTGTGATATAAGGACAATGGGTAAAGTGATCTCTAAGAATCTTCAAACTCTGCTCTTCAGATTCTCTGATTCAAAGCCTGCGGTCTCTGAAGTACCAAGAGGATGGTAACTCAGAGAAGCTGAGCTCTTCCTGGCCTCAAATCATACATATCCGTGACATAGTCTCAGTCTGATGGTGGAAGGGGACAGCACTGGCACTGGAGTCCCACAGTTAGCAAGAGTCACCTGGAGCCCTGACACCTGTTCCCTGGCCCTCCTCCAGCAAAGAGATCTAGGATCATGAATGACAAGAAAATTGTGTTAAAAAGGACAGTGGCCCTGAATCAAAAGGTAGGAAGTAATGAGATGTAGGTTGGAGTCTTTCAGGTTATAGCTGACAACTGGGGTAGGAATGGGGGTTCTGAGCCCAGTGCTGGCTGCCGGGCTGTTTATCTCTGAGTAATATCAGCACCAAGCCACAACAGCCACCTGCCCTAGCTCCATCTCTTAGAGTCACAACAGGATGTGGTTTGACATTTACTGGGTCCTACATCTGGGGTGCCTGTGAAAGTCACTCCCTCCACCCACCCTCCTTCAGAGCATCATGAGAACCACACTCACCGCATCCGGCACCCAACCCCCTCCTATGCTGCTCTTTCTACCTGGGCCCCTGGTTAGCATCCTGGCAGTGGAAGTAGAACTTCAGAGGGGAGGGGACAGGGTCTCTAGAGGGGAATCTAGGTATCCCAGATCCATGTGCAGGTCTCCCCTCCCCCAGCACATCTTTACACCTGCTGGAGGTTATGCACAAGATCAAAGGCCACAGTGGGCACCATGAAGATAGTGGAGAATGAAAAACAGCTGCAATAACTGCTCTGACCCAATTGGGATCCCTTTTGGTCCCACATCACTCAGGCAACTCTCTCTTCCCACCTGCCCCCCAAACTCCCTTCCACCTCCCTCCACTTGCATCCTCCCACTTCCTTCCACTCATGTAATGAGAGGTGCTGATGAGTCACAGGAGAGAGAGCCCTAGATAACCAACAGACTGCAAAACGGACAGTCCCTGCATGTCTGAGCCAGTGTTTGTGCACTGCATTGACTGGCTCCTTGTAGTTTTATCCTCTAGTTGCGAAAGCCTGTAAGGTCTGTGTGATGAGTATTTTCTAACACATCTTAGAAGAACATAATGCAAGACAGAATGAAAAACTAGACATACAGAAACCCCCAAAGTAGGGAGTGGGAAATTACTAGGTATATAGGTCAAGCCTGCTCTGCAGGAGCTCAAGGGATTGTAGCATTCTTATCCCAAACCACAGAATCCTGGGCAAAAATAAGAAGTTGCCTAATCTTAGTGTTACCAGCTTCCCAACCCTGGGCATTCCTCATCTTCCTCAAACTGCCCAGAGGCCCCAGGGTGACTCCCTATAAGTCCCATGGGTGGCTGAGATCTATTTAGAGGCCCAAGAGTATCTCCTTATAAGTCCCATGGGTGGCTGAGATCTATTTAGAGGCCCAAAGGGTATCTCCTTATAAGTCCCGTGGGTGGCTAAGATCTATGTGAAGCATCTTGGGGACAGTGCCTCTGGCCACCAGCATGTGGCCCTGAATCTTCCATGTGCAACTGGCCAGGGAAGTAGACGTATGGACATAGTCATCCTGGCACATCTGCAAAATCAGATGCAAATCCTGGAAGCTCTCCTAGAAAAGAGACAGCCTCATCTGATTAAAGGGGCAAGTTAGTTTCATGAATTCCTGGCAGGAGATGGCACGTCTGAACAGGATCGGCCATCCTAAACTGCTTTCCTTTGTCCCCTGGAATTATAACGACTGTGGATTTCTGAGTCCTAAATGGTATGGAAACAGTTATGGGAATGAACAGCCACGCATGAATAAGAGAAGATAACATGGAGGCTGTTAATTTGTTCTGATGAATTTAGGTGGCTTTCAAGCCTCTCTTTCAATGCTCACCTGTCTGTAGGATGCTCTGTGCAATGATCAGGACTTCTTTTTCTTCAAATTCTCTAAAACTTACAATATTCACACAGACCTGCACATTTCTACACAAACTGACTCTCTTGCTTGCAATGTCATTTTGCTTATATAACTGTTAGCCTCCTAAAGAGCTAAACCTAGCTACAATTTTATGTACTTTGTGAAGTTTTCCAGAATTTTTGCAGCATATCACAGGAAGGGAAAATCTGCCTCAAGTCTCTACTAGCTCTACTTGACTAGTGGTGATTGCCTGAGACATTTCTCTATTAAGAAGGATTCTGAAGCTGCACAACACCCCTACAGAATCAGCATCTGCATAGGCACAGCATAGGGTTCAAGTTTCATGGTTTTGCCATCCAAGCATGTTTAGCATTTTAAATATTAATATTTATTACATGCCTGTAGTTTATGATTTGAAATGTGTTAAATAAGTCTTCCTCTTGGGTAAGTTGTAATGAAAATAATCTTGTAAGTTTAAGGAGAGGAAAATAATACCTGTTGAAAATTAGAGCCTGTAATAGGACTTTATAAACACCATCTTATTTAATACACTTAACAATTCAATGAGGCATGTTTTACAGGAGGGGAAAAACTTGAAAGCTAGTAAGATTAAATAACTAGGTCAAGTTCATAACAACTAGCAAATTTAGACTTAAAAAATCAAGTGATTTGACTAAATCATGCTATGACTATACCCAACACTATCTCAAGTATATATATATATTTTTAATAACCCTCAAAATGGCTCACTGTGTCCAGCACACAGTATCTGCTTAATACATAGCTGATCCTTAAAGCTCAATAGGAACCCTTGGGCATTATTCTGTACATTCTTGATCACTCTGTGTCTACGTCTCAGATTTTCCACTTCAGATTAAATGATACTAGAAATATGCACACGTCTGGATTCATCTAGGTTAAATGATGCCCAGAATAGAGTATTTTAAGACATCTTGTGCCCCCTTGTGGAGGGGAAGGGACATTAGAAAGAAAATCTTTTTAAGAACAAGAACTAGGGAGGAATGGGGATGAGGAAGGAAGCTCAGTTGCCAAGGTAACCATCGAGCCTCTTTCCAGCCATCCACATCAACCCTTTCCTCTCCTTCATTTCCATCCAAGTGATTTCTCTTTTTTAGAGCTCAGCCATTACACACACAGTCCTCTTCTTGCGTATCTCTTGGATCACCATCTGTCTGTCTTTGCTACAAAGGAAGAGCTAGAAGATAGTACAACAGGACAGTTTTTAAAACCTAAAACCTAAAACACCATCAAAATTTCTAAGTGTATGTTTATTTTTATTTTTATTTTTTTTTTGAGATAGAATCTCGCTCTGTCACCCAGGCTAGAGTGCAGTGGCATGATCTTGGCTCACTGCAACTTCCACCTCCCAGGTTCAAGTGATTCTCCTGCCTCAGCCTCCCAAGTAGCTGGGATTACAGACACCTGCCACCACACCCGGTTAATTTTTGTACTTTTAGTAGAGACAGGTTTCACCACGTTGGCCAGTCTGGTCTCGAACTCCTGACCTCAGGTGATCCTCCTGCCTCAGTCTCCCAAAGTGCTGGGATTATAGGCGTGAGCTACCACGTCTGGCCTAAGCGCATGTTTCCTATACTAACAAAACCACACTTCAGCCTCGAATGAGAACAGTCTCCTGAACATCTTGCCTCTTTGCCTTAGTCAAAGCTTCAGGTCTAAGCCTCCCCAGAATTTCTAGTCTCAGCAGAAAGATCAATGACAGGAGACTCTCCAGGTGATGAAATTAACCAATTCAGTAACCTGAGTTGGCATCCTCCCGTTTGTTCACCAGCTCACCTCCTGCCACAGGTATATCCTATTTCTCTCAGCCATATATGCACAAACCCCCTCCCCAGAGCACACATAAGGAATTTGGAAGACGAGAAAATCAGGCAAGGTATAGCACACCTTGAGGGCTGGAGTATGGTAGCCTAAGCCTGGACATCCATACATTGAGAACTTGACTATGTGCAGGCAAATCACAGGTTCTGCACACATACAATTTTTTGTTCTCCCTGAGAACTTTAGTACTAGAGTCTTTTGTAGAATTCTAGCTTCATTCCATTGCTTTCACATTGGCCAGCAGTCAGAAACCTAGTTACAAATATCCTCCACGCAGTCCCTGGGTGAGGGATCCTGGGGACAATGGTTAGGGCTCAGGAGAGGGTGGAGTTTTTGCACAGATGTCTGCCCCACCCAGCTCAGTGTGACACTCCAGGCACAGAGATAGAAGCCAGAGTCACTAAGGAGGAGCTTCTTAGAACTCAGGATGAACTGCCTGTCCTGGGGCCTGGAGGCTGAGAGATTCTGGGGCACCTCAGAGCTGATCTGGCCAACACCAACGGAGTAGAAGAGCAGCTGGAGGCCCCTGCCTGCAGCCTGTCGGTACCAGTATAGGTTGGGGTTTGATGTTCCCTCCACAGTGCACTCCAGAGAGAGCCGGCTGCCCACAGGCTGCACCAGGGTCGCTGGCCATTGATGAATAGTCTGAGATCTGACCCCTGTGGGAAAGATAAAGTGCCATTTACGAAGGAGCACCCCAGCCTGGCTTGCCTTCCCCAGACAGAGGGGCAGCTCAAGCTCTTGCATGGCACAGGCACCAGGAATCCATCATGGGGAGTAGACCGGGGGAGCCAAGGATGCAAAACATCACTGGGCCAGGGAAGACCAACAGAACAAGCTCCTTCCTAGGAGACAGAGAGAACCAAGAATCATCAGATCAGCCCTTAAGGCTGAAGCCCCATATCTGTTCCAGACAATCAGAGGAATAGACTCAGGAGTGTCAAACCAACAGCTCAGACTCTGCATTCACGGGATTGCGGTGAGGGTGAGGATGAGAAAAGAGGCTTGCCGGAGAGGAGGGCACCCACCGAAGAAAGTGCCCAGGAGAAGGGCAAGGGGAGAGCAGAGCATCATCCAAGCCAGCCTTTCCTTCAGCTAGTCTGGGGGACAGACGCCTCCTCTTCTGGGCCAGTGACGTGGTCAGGCCGCTCCCTCTGGGAGATCTGCTGCCAGAGCAGAGGAATCTACCCCTTGAGCTGGGGAGGAAACGAGGCTAGTCTTGTTTTAAGAGTGTGGTGAATCACCCCCAGCCTCCCTGGGAACCAGCTGTACTCTGCACTTGGTATCTTCTTTGCATTTCTGCTGACATCCTGGTATGTAAATATATTTAATGACTCACTGTTTACCTGTAAACTAGAGGTAACTCTCTAGCTCCCCTAGGAGACATCAGAAGCCTGGGAAACCTTCAGAGAAACTGTGATACTGAAAGAAGGATGAAAAAGGATTTTAGTTTATCTGAAATTGGAAACTAGAGCTAGACATGTTACCTGGGAGATGAAAGGATAGGGCTCAAGAGATTCAGGTATTTTGGGGTAATCAAAGCAGAAATGCTCAGTTCTGAGGGCAGGAAGCTTCTATGACAGCCAAACAAGGGATCGTCTGCATAATCTTCATCCCTGGCAGACAGGTTTTGAGACCTGGACAGGCAGAATTAACTCCTGAACTGATCAAAGTTGGAATCTGTCCCACATGCCTCTAACGGCCCAGCTAGATCTAATTTATCCTCTAAATGCAACATGAATAACAGGAAACATCACAGAGCCTTGGAATCATATGGATTTGGGTTCATTTTGCAGCTCTGCTTCTTGCTGGCTTGGGAACTCTCAAGCAAACCCTCATTCTCAATTTTCTTATCTGTAAAATGAAAATAATGATGACGATACCTAAAAATTGTTGAAAGATGCATTTTGCCTGGTGCACTGCAGGCAGGCACTCTTACACACGTTGGCTTTTTTATTTTTTTCTTTTCTTTTCTTGACTCTAGGAAAAGCCTATGTCTGCAGCAAAGATTGGGAGATTTACAGTGGGATGGGGTGGAAGGTGGGGGCTGAAGGGACCACAGAGCCACAAAAAACACAGTCAAGCCACCAATTCATAATAGCTAAGGATTCATAATAGCTAAGCGTGGGAATCTGCTAGGTAGCTGCTAAAACGTCATTCTGCTGAAGTGGGACTTAGGACCTTGAGATGCCTGGAGGACACCAGCACACCCTTGGAAACTCCTCTTCCCTCTGTCTTTGCCATGCTCTGTCCTCTGAAGGATTCATATTCAGAACAATTACTCAGTTTGTGTTGGATGTGGTGCAGTGGTTGGAGACGAGAACCCAGGAAAGAAAGCTGTGAAAGCGGCTGAACAGGGAGAATCAGCCTTAAGCAAATAAAGCATCTGTAACACTTTCCCATTTCATCAGGGCCTAGTGATGTCATATGTTTGTTGTTGTTGCTGATGCTACAGTAACACAATTCCAAGTTAATGTTGGGGTTCTTGCTCCTGACAGTTTCGGCTGTAGCACATTTTTTTGTTTGCATTTGAATACACCATATGCATAGGGGAATGTTTTGTTTTTTCTCTTTTCTAAATGGAATTAATCCTCTTATAACATTTATTTAAATGATAAATCAAGTGGTAAATATAGTTCGCTTGCAGTGAACATTTGGAACATATGATGAAAAATAGCTATAGCCAACGCAAGAGCAGTTTTCATTGGCTGTTCTACAGTTGTTCAATCTCAGTTTTTAATAAATCTGGTAATATAATATCTGTGCATATTAGGATTGCAGGGAGTGAGGCCAAAATAAATATGTGCACACATAACCTGTTCCTTTCTTTCCATTTCTTTTCTCTTTCCTCTTTGCCTTTGAAATTTTTATTTAGTCCTGAGTGGGGATGGGGGGGAGAGAAAGTGGACAGGGGGTGGAGAGAAAGTGGACAGAGGGTGGTGGGAGATACAGGGAGAAAGAACGAGAATTGCTTTTGCTCTCAAGGGTACCACATCATGTTTTCCTTTGGCTGGCAGTCTTTTAACACCAGCATATCGCATGAGACCTGACTTCACTCATCAGCTGCATCGGCTCAGTGTCATTACCACGTGTAGAGAGCAATGTAATCCTCCTTCTTAGAGATGTTGCAGCAGATTGGAGGGTGCAGAGATGTATCAGTCAGATCAGAGTAACCAGCTGGCTCCTGGCTCCTGATCATTGTCACAGCTCAGTAGCTGGAAGCTCCTTCCATATGGCTGATGCCTTTAAAAAAAATCTCCTCAGTCTCCATCCCCATCTGCAATACTGTTCAGTTATTCAATCACTTAAGTCATTCATGTATTGAAAAGGGGATGGGGCTGTGATCCCTCTGCTCTGTGGCAGTACATCTACAAATGGGAGAGGCCTGGCCGCACATCTGGCCTGGGTCTGGAGGTGTCCTACGGAATTGAAAGCTGGCTGGAGCTGTCATCTTAACATGTTCTGGTCATCTTAACGTGTCCACCTCTCTGGCAAGCCTCTTTTCAAATCTTTTTGTTACCATCTTTGGCTTTTTCCCTCCATACTAGATTCTTAATGAATCACTGCCAACAAGAGAAAGCTTTATACATGAAGAAAATGGCAATAAGAATGAAATCATCTTTTTAATTTTAAAACTAGTATATATTCCTATATAATAGGAATGGAGGATACTTGCAAAGCCTATTTGTTCCTCTACAGAAGAGTTTAAAATTACCTGGGCTAATGGAAAGAAGGGAGAGTCAGCCAGTGAGATGCTCCTGAATGCCCTGAATTGTGACTTACCTCTTCTTATCCACATCCTGATCAAGGAAAGGGATGAGAGAGAAGTGGAGAGAGAAGAAATGGAAATTCAAAAGTTTTGACGGCAGAGGAAAATTGTGCTTATTTCCAGAATGAGATGAACAAGGTCCTGGGTCCCTACATGTCATACTGGCTAGAGACTGGTAAGTAGAAATGACTTGTGGTCAGCAGAATAATGGCTCCCAAGGATGTCCACATTCTAATCCCCAGAATCTGTGCATGTGTTAGATTACATGGCAAAGGGGAATTAAGGTTGAAGATGGAATTAAGGTTTCTAATTGGATGTCCTTAAAACAGGGAGAGTAGTCAGAATTATCCAGGTGTGCCCCATACAATCATAAGGGTCCTTCAACATGGAAGAAGGAAGCAGAAGAGAGTCAAAGAAAGAGATGTGGACATGGAAGCAGGTAAGAAATGCCATGCTGCTGGCCCTGGAGGTAGAAGGGGGCATGAGCTAAGGAATGAAGGTGGCCTCTAGAAGCTAGAAAAGGAAAGGAAATGGGTTATCTTCTAGAGCCCTCAGGGAAGAATGCAGCCTAGCTGACATCTTGATTTTAACTTGGTGAAACCTGTGTCAGACTTTAGAGTTATAGAACTGTAAGATAATAAGTTTGTGTTATTTTAAGGCACTAAGTCTGTAGTAATTTATTGGAGCAGCAGTGGAAAAAATACATGGCTCTAGAATGTGTCTGAACAGAGGGACCTGAGGTAGTCTCCAACAATCCCCAAAGATCTCAGGATAGATCAGGAATAGCCATTTTCTCATTCAAAGGAAAATGGATTAACTGAGAGAAGCCATCAAGCCTGAAGAGGCATCGTGTTTGAAACGTGTAAGGCACAATGTACCCGCTGTGGATCAACACAACCTCAAGGACAGACAGACACACCGAGGGTCAGCAGATATCAGTGGGGACAAGTGTTGATGACCATGCAAATGAGAGTCATGAAGGAAAGTTAAATGATGACCAAAGACTAAGTACCTTCCCCACAATACTTTGATAAGTGCTTTTAATGCGCCCTGGAATTTAGACACCACCCGGGGAGAAAAGCATGAATTGTCTGAGAAATCCCTGAATTAATCATGTATACCCCAGTGCAACAGGGATCTAGATATAGAATAATTTTAATTGTAGAAAACAAAATTATATTTTACCCACCCCTATTTGATGCCCATGAATTTCACATCTAGCTTACATGCACATAAAATTCAAGCTTAGATAGGTGGAAAACAGAAAATTAAGAAGTAATATTTGCCTTCTAATAACTTATCTATTGGAGGAAGTAAAAGATAGAAAAGTAGTTCAGATGGCAAATACTAAAAGAGTTAGGAACTTCTGCTTCCACTTATGATGAAGGAACTTCTCAATCTGTCCACTGTGTAATATTCCTTGAGCTGCTGTAATAAAGTACCACAAACTGGGTGACTTAAAACAACAGAATTTATTGTCTCATGGTTCTGGAGCCTAGAAGTCTAAAATCAAGGTATCAACAGAGCTATGCTCCCTCTGAAACCTGGAAGGAAATTCTTCCTTGCCTATTCCTAGTTTCTGGTGATTTGCTGGCAATTTTTGACATTCCTTAGCTTGCAGCTACATAACTTTAAACTGTCTTTGGCATTACATGGCATTTTCCCTGCGTGTTTCTGTCTTCCCACAGCTGTCGTCTTACAAGCACATCAGTCATATTAGGAGTCCACAGCACTCCAGTATGACCTCATCTTAACTAGTCACACTCGCAATGACCCTATTTTCAAACAGAGTCACATTGTGAGGTACTGAGGGTTGGGATGTCAACATATCTTTTACTGGGGTGGTGGGGGGGTGGCAGGTATAATTCAATCCATTATCCCCTCCAATAATAAACACCTAGAAAACTGGGCAATATACATGAGATAATTGTTTTCTAACATTGGACAATAGATGGCACAAGACTGTGACCCATAAGAGAAAGGAAACAAACGAGCTGCATGCTATGATCATTTCTGTTTTCTACCCAGAATTTCCTGGGTTGCTGTGCACACAAGAGGGACCCAAGCAGAGCACGGCACCCTGAAATTCTTACCGAGCTGCGGACACAGCTCAGAGAAGAGGAGGCCATGCACGGAAAGAGCCCCACAATTTTCATGCAGTCTCATTGAGTCTTTGGGTAAATACTAAGCTGGCATCCATTGGGTGAAACTCCACAGGGGCAGGCAAAGAATAAATACTGGGGAATTAACAACTGCTGGTGAACTACAGTATGAATAATTACTAGATCTTGGTCAAGGCCGAGAGAGAGACAGCTCTGAGCAATCAGAATAGCTTTGTTGAATACCTGGAATATTTAACAGGTATCCCAGGAAGCCCATAACTTAGAGTAGGACTCAAATGACATAGAATAAGTCTACCATCCATTAACCCTAACAAAGCTTAGAAGAGCCCTTGAAAGGAAAAGCAGACAAGTTGACCTACAAGCAAGTCAACTGCCCACTAGA